ACGTCATCCGAGGGGATGCCCGTACGCTCTCATAAGATTTCCTCTAACCATCTACTTTTAGAAATTTGTCCTGGTAATTTTCTACAATTAATTTTAGCAATGTCACCCGAGGGGGAGCCCATAACCGCAATTAATTGATTTACTGACAAATTAGAAATGGAGGCCTTAGGAATTTTACAATTAACTTTAATTTAAAATCCCTTCTCAAACTTAGTATTATTTTAATGAGGATTTTGAACTATTTATACAATTCCAAATTAATCTATGTTAATGCAATAATTAATTAACATGTTCAATAATTTATGCAATTCTAAATTAATCCATGCCAATGCAATAATTAATTAACATGCATAATTTATTGACACAATTCTAAATTAATCCTATGCATTACATAATTAATTAACATGCATAATTAAGCTTGCAATACTAAATTAATCCCATGCAAGAACATAATTAGTTAACATGTATAAATAATAATTTAATGGCATAATAAATTTAATTAAATAAATAAATAAATCCACTATTATGACCATTAAATATTGAGTCTCCTTAAACAAGGAAACTGTAACAGTTCTTTCCTTGTCAACTGGAACTCCTTTAAGCAGTAGAATCCTGGTTGATCTTGTACTGCTTGGACATCAAGGCAAAACCTCTCCACCTCCCTGCAAGCCGCCACCGACCGCCGCCTCTGGCCACCGCCCGGCCGCCGGTGGTCGAAAAATCGATTTTTTTTTTTTTTATTCTTCGAGGCTCGTTGATCTCTTGGGATCTCCCGGTCATCAACACACGATCACAGCACGAAAAATATAATTTACAAAATTACATAATTCGATCCTAGATCCAACGAATGAATGTACATGTTTTCTAAACAAATAACTAAATCTATCCGGTCAAACCCCCGGGCGAATAATTATTACAAACATTCATCCATAAATTCCTCGACATGCCCGAGGCTTTAAAAACAAATTTATAACCATACATCACATTCAACAACATTCATCAAACACATAATCGACCATAATAGTGGATTAACTATTTATCCTGCAAAACCAAGTTATGCAAATATAATCCAATATATGGTTGCGTTTGAACACATCTTGTCAAATAAAGCCGTAAAAATTCGAACTTTGTACAAAACGAATTAACCAAGTGCTCTGATACCACTTGTTGGGATCTGTGAGGATCTCGTTATGTACAAGTCACGAATTCAATAGCAAACGTAAACCTATGCGCAGGGGATCTAAAGGTTTGACGTAGAGAACTTACGGCTTAAAATTTATGTAGATCTGGTTGACCACGAATAGTTGACTGCAATTGATTGACCGCAAATTACGTCTTAGGTTGCACGAACAAGATCATATCAAAATCGGATCAAACGGATGCAAACAGATCAAACGAAACATAACAGCCTGGGAGCTTCCAGCGGCGCGTGAGGGCGCGTGAGGCGTCGGACGACTGCGATCTCAGCGGCGATAGAAAGCTCTCGTCGAGACGGTCGTCTGGGTATGCTGTACGTCTCAATCGGACTTCCGGTTAGTTCTGTTGGTCAAAATATATTTCGTCTCGGTTTACCTACAGATCTTCTACTATTTTATTCAATACCCCCTTCTTCTACTTGTACCAGTGGAGCAACAAGAATAAGATAAAGCTCGAATGAGATCTAGAGAGAGAGAGAGAGAGGAGTGGGGTGTGTCTCGTTAGAATGAGATTGGGATTCTCTTCTCATGAGCTTAATGATGTATATATAGAGCTACAGTAGGGACCCTTAGGAGATTAGGAAAAGGGCTCCTTAATTAATTAGACTAACTGTGGGCCAAGCCCACTCCTCTAATTAATTAAATAATATTAATGGCCACCAAAATTATATTATTGCACTCCCTTTTCCTAGCCCAAATTACATTTGAGACTCCAATACTCGATTTACCTCCCCACGTTTAAGATATAATGTCCATTAATTAATTTGATTACTGACAATCAAGAATTAATTAATTTATTATTATTTCACCGAAGCTAGCGCTCGTCCATCAAATTCTTAATATGCCGGAACTTAATCCACCTGCAGGGTTTAGCATAACAATCCTTCATGAACTCACGCCGGGGACATCATCAAACTAATGCACATGGTGACCGTAAATATCCTAACAACACATCCTATATATAATAATATTACCCAAAACAGTAGGAATATTAATCCAGTGAACTGAACCTCACCCTTGTGAATCAAAGTAATATATATTATATATATCTGCCTGTTTAATATCTTACGGGTTAAGAGAACGCACTAATTAACCGAGGCCTAGTTCATTTACGATGATTAGTATAAAATGAACTTCTCCTATTTGGGATCCTATTCAATACATAAATGTGCTAGTGCAACTAATCAGTCAAGACAAACTGTACAATTGACACTACAATCGTTCGGATGGGGTGTTCATGTCCATCTAGATTGTGAACAACTATTCTTGTTCGCAAGTGACTGATAGAGTGATCTTCGGTTCGCCCGATGACGACCCACCCTATCTAAGTGCAGAACAACAGAACGTAGAACTTGTTTAATCTAACATGATTCTCATTTATAAAGGGTAAATGTGTAATAACATGCAAAGTCAAGCTTTCAGTATATAACACTAACACTCCGAACAGTTCATGGGCGGATTTATTATTCCATAGTGGGGGCCATTGTCCCCCCAAAGTTTTTATTTTTTTTAATATACATACATATATATATATATATATATATATATATATATATTGCTAAGAATTTACTCTTTCTCTGCAATATATACTATATATATTATAAGCATATCCAATTTATACATATACCCCATTATCATTACTAGTTATTAATATAATCTATATACTAAGAATTTTTAGCTGTATCATATTTTTGTAAGTAATTTTTCACTCTTTAAATATAATATTTGTGTTTTTCTTTTTATAATAGAGTGATTAATTAATGTACGAAATATGTAAAAAGGTGAAAATAAGTAATTTTAAATAGGGGTTTGAAAAAGAAAAGAATTATTTGTATATAGTCAATTGTCGATGAGTCTTGTGATTTAAAATAATGTGGAATACAATTTTAAAATATCAAAGTTCAACAGTTATGTCTATTGTTGAATATTTTTATAATTTATGTTATCGAATTTAGAATGCAACTTTATGCCTTATATGCATATAAAATGTGATATTAAATATTGTATATTCCTTCTACAGGTGTTATTAGAGTAGAGTTGAATCCTTCATGATCAAGCTCTCGTGTATGTTTAATAAATATGTTGGCCTGACTTGACCCATTAAATAAACGAAAAAAAAAATTATGAGCCTCAGCTCGATTCATTTAATAAGCAATGATTTGTTTCTTGAGTTTTCACGGGTCAATTCGAGATATATTCTCAAGTATTTATTTCAAATGACAATTCTTAGTCCCCTCTAAAAAAATTTTTTGGATCCGCCCATGGAACCGTCCACGCTCCTCCTTCCCTGGTGAAAGCCAACGAGAAGAAAATAACTTCCTTTTTCAAGGATGTACTCCCTGCTGCCGACCTCCAAGATAGCGGCTCCAACATTAAGGCTCGAGGTGAAAGTGTTGCCCGCTGGCTAGCTTAGGTAAATTGTCAACTCGTCTTTATACTCCACAGTCCCATATTTATATCTAGTGTATTGAGTTGTTTAGCATTTGTTGAATATAGGGCTTGATCGAGCTGGTTCTCTGGGTTGACTCGGCTTTGTCGGGCTCAGGTCGGACAATCCCTGAGCTCGAACAAAGCGTGAAGACCTTGGCCGATGTTGTTCGAGTGGGTTGCTTCCTTCCCGGATGCCAGGTCGAGGAGGGTGCTTCGGTCGCCGCTTTGTCGAGGGTGCGGTGGCTGGCTGGAGGTAGTGCTCGACCTTTGGCGTGTGTCTTGACCCTCGAGCTTCCTCTTTCCGGCAGCCCTTGGTGCTTTGTCACTGGAACTCTCCAGTCGACGGTAGTTCTTGGAGCTGCGACGGGTGGGGGAATGGTGTGGAAGATTGTGGGGTTGGGGTCTCCGGGGGCTCGTTGGTGGTGGACCTGGGTGGCTTCGCGTCTGTCGGGCTGGTTTGGTTTAGCCGCCTTTGGTTGGAGTTTTCCACTCTAGGCCGTGGGAGGCGTAGCTTTCATTGGTGGTTCATTGCCGGGGTGTCGATTTGCGCCCCTACGATTCATTGCTCGTTGCGCCTGGTGGGGAGGGCTCGTTCTTACTTTTTAGTTCTATTTGTGGTTTTTCTTTTCCCGTTGGGAGTGTGTATTCTCCCGTTGGGGACTGTGTATTATCCCATTGGAGATTGGGTATTCTCCCATTGGGGACTGTATTTTTTCTTTTGCAGTCTATGTGTTGTAATTATGTTCTTTAGGCTACCTTTGTTCCATTCAATAGGCCTCTCGTTTCCGGCTACTGAGTCGGGTGTAATTATGTGTTTATTGTTATAAAGTCTATCGTTTTT